CATGTTCGTTTATTGCTTAACTTTCTTTACATGTGTCTGGTGGATTTTTCAAGGTACTGAACTGTAGTGGTTTGGGCAGGTAGGTCAGTATCTTTCTTTAAACATGCTATAGCTCCCCCTGTTCTGTTGCTGAGCATTATGTTCCCCCCTTGAAACTAAGAATCCTCCACTCTTGTCTACCTCAGCTCTTTGGGTTTTTTATAATAATCTAAGTTTCAGTTAAAAGTATGTCCTCCCTGGATCAAAGGTGCATCCTCATTCATTCCCTGCCTTAAGCAGTTTTATTTGTTCACTTCCTTGTGTTTTGCTCACACAATTATTTTTTCATTTCAAGCCAAGAGGTCTGTTAGGGCTCCTGTAATAAGTACATCCAGTGGAAGATGGAGAGTCATCCACTGAATTCATACAGTGACTTCTCATAGAAGATATTTTGGGTTCAGGCTTTTCAGTTTCAAAACAAATATAGTTCTTTGGCATGACTCTGGATTCTGTGGGGACTTCTGATTTTCTGTGATTCACGTTGAACTTAAACAGCAAGGTAAGTAGTTTGCTGTGTGAAACTAGTAGTTTAATGCCTGATCTTCAACTCACAGATCAGTATTACCAGTATTCATGGCAGAACAGAAAAGAATCATTATCAGGTTTATAATCCCTGTTACTCCGTACTGATAGGAGTTACTCCTTTGGACCTTATGTTTGGATTTTCACTGAGCAGCAGACTGAAACCAGTTCAGGAACAGCAGTAATGCTGGTGTTCATTGTAGCAAGATGCCTTACCCAATTAGGAAAACCTTCTCTCTTTCCTCCTTAAAGCAGCCTTCCTCTTATTTTAGAATGCAGTAGAAACGTTGTGTTATTAATTACATTTTACCAAATTAACTTCACTTAAAGCTTAATTAGAACTGCGGAAGCTAAATTATACTAACATTCTTGTAAACACAGCAGAGTTAGGAATTGTGTGTGAGTAACTGGTTACAGAATTGAAAATATCAATCCCCATTGTTTTTTTTAAGAATATTTGAGGAGTTTGTGCAGCAGATTTGGTACAGCTCTGTCTATACAACAATGGCCATGCAGTGTTGTAGTTTCTAATTCTGTAGCTATTTAGACCCATTTTATCCTCAGAGCTGATATTCCTAAATTTGGAGCAATTATCTTGCTGGCTGAGAGACCTGGGAAAACATGGAAACAAATGGGTTCTTACATCTTATCAAGTGCCAATGTTCGTTGTTAATACTCCCTATTTTCTGTTGTCAGGTGTCTGCACATCTCTCTCCCACGGCTAGTTACACTGTACGAACTTACTGTTAGAGGATGACTGAAACTGCTGAGTAAGATTAAAAGGTCATGTCTGAGTTATAGCAAAAATCCATTAGGCTGTCTGTAGTAAAGCTGAGGAATTTTTCATGCATCAGTTAAAATAGATACTGTGTCTCGTTGTCACAGATGGAATGAACGAGAGAGAGCACATTAAATCCAGACATCTGCAGAATGGCCATCAGGTGGCTCTGGCTCTCAGTAGTATCATGAACAGAGGTTTAATTCTGACATATTTTCATACCCCAGACTCCTAATTCCCATTATCTGTATCAGTAAGAACGCAATCGTTCTGGTGCAGGACTAGCTATTATTTTTTATGACCATGAAATTACACTTAAATCATTACTTATACACCTTTCTCATAAATAACTGGAAAACTTTTTATGCTTCGTTGATAGAGCTTCATATTTAAAACAGATTGCACAGATGTGGTGTTTTTGTCTACAGTGTTGCTAACCCAGAAGAAACGCTACATGTTAAGCCTACTAAAACTTTCCTGGCAATCACAAACCCCTAATTTGGAGATCATAAAACCCCTGTGGCAAAACCTCTGCCATCTCCTGGTCAAGGAGAAAAGTACCTGCTAGGCATCGGTGTGCGTTGGATTGAGTGCTCCAGCCTGATTCCAGCGAAAGGAGAAACTGGCAGTTTTGCAGAGCTCTTCAGCCGCAGATTTGAAACAGGCCTGGTCAGTAGCTTTCTGACAACATATTTTTCCATCAGAAAGTGCTGTTTTGTTATAATTAAAACTTTCTGTGGGAACACGTCAATGAGAAATTGAAATGTTCCGTTCTAAAAATATCAGAACGTTCTGTTTCAAAATTTTTTGACTGGAAGACTTTTATTTTTATTCCAGAAAGATTTTTTTTTTTTAATAATTTTTTTCTTTATTATAATAACAAGAAGTCAAAGTTGAAATTGTCATCTTACTGTTAAACATTAACGACACCTCACATCATCACTACAGCATGTGGTAAATTCAAGGCAGTCAAGAGTCTAGGTGTCTTGACTTTTATTACCCTGCTCTGACCACTCAGCCTATGTCATGCTACTTGTGGTCATGTATGTATGCTCTGTAGGGAGAGTATGTCAAGAATGTGACTGTATTTTCGTTCAGATGAGAGAGATCAGAGATGGGAAGAAAACTGTTTTTCACATCTTTGTGTCTTTATTTCTTCTATTGTAATTTCATATTAATTGCTTAAATTGCTACAGTAATTTAAAGAATAACTGTTTTGAGCTTATACTCCTTTTAACAATACAGCATACACAAAGAATTCCCAGATATAGCCAAAATCATACCAGTCAATATTCAGAAAAAAAGAAAAGAAGCAAGCAACTAAAGATAACTCTCAATGCTTTTCTTTGCCTAGCTTTGTAAGTTTAGTGCCTGTCATGTGCTAAAAAGAAAAGAGAGACTTTGCATTTTATCCTGTAAGGAAAGGAATGAAAGAAAAAGAATGCCAGATTTGATAAATAATAGACCAAGGTGTTATTATTTTTATACCTTTCTTTAAAATGGGGCTCCAGCGAAATTGTGCAACTTATTGAAGATTGGTAACTTTGTTTTCAGAAAGAAAGGAAGTACTGTGGTTCTGATTACATATCACCAGTCATAGCAGATAATTATCTATCTATCTATCTATCTATCTATCTATCTATCTATCTATCTAATACTTGCCTGTATGGCAGCCAGCTACACGGTGTTACAAAAGTGTTTAGATGCACATAACCAGGCTGAATTTATACTCACACAGACATTTTCTAATTTGGGATTTCATGGCTTTTTAAATGTCATTCTAATGTAGCTTTTAATGCAATTAGAAAAAATTAAGAAAAAGAAATTGCATGTGCAAAATCATAGTGATTCTGCCCCAGCATGGATTATCAGAAGGGCTGAGTTCTTTTGCTCACAGTGCAGTTATCTATACTGTGAGCTAGGAAAGTAACTGAACACAGAAGGTTGTTTACAGCTGTAGGAACTAGGCACTGGAGAGGGGAAGTGTGCCCACACAGTCAGGGAATGTTTAGACACAGGAAGTATGAGTTCAGTTCTGTGATTTGTAGGGGACTGTCCTGTCATGATTGGAGAGACCCTCCTGCATAGGTCTTTTGCTTTTTCCTTTTACCTCCCCTCTCCAGTTCCTGTCTTTTACTCCTTGGCTGTACTACCTGCACCATGTCACTTCTCCATCCCATGACACTAAGTTGCTGTTTTCTTTTGTTCTTTTCACCCCATCCATATCATTCCACCCTGCCTCTGTCCTTTCCACTTCTGTGTCTCCTGGTCTTTCCTTGTAGCTGTCTTCTCTTTCAACATCCTGCTGGACCTTTTGTACTCAGACCTCCTGATCCTGTTCATCCATTTGTTTCACATTCTCTAAGTAGTCTTCATCTATCTAGTTCATCCTCACCAGTGAGGTGTAGGCAACAGAAACCTAGGACGCAAAAGGACAAGTTCCTAGCTGTTGAGTATATAGTCTTGATCCCACAGCAGTCCCAGCAGTTGGGATGAACAATTTCAGAGAATATCCTTTCTATCTCTGCAGCTGTGCTGGAGGATACTCATACTGAGGTTTCAAGCAGCATGGTCACTTACAACAAAATTGGTGAAGTGTTACCATTTGTAGCACCTTACTCTTTCAATAACCCTTTGTGGGACTGAGTAATCTTCAAACTGGTGAACTGATCTGGCATTGAAGTGTTTATTTATTGCTGGGTGGTTTTTCAGCTGAATGAATTATTGGATCCATACAGTGGAAAAACATATTTTAATTTGCCAGAAATATTTGATGCTTTTTAGCTAATGTATGCTGCCAAAAAATCAACCTGTGGTAGGTACCCAGAATAGAAGATTCAGTCCAGTCTGTAAATTGAACACAACTTAATAATGGAGGAAGTCAGACAAATTTTAGGTAACTCAAGTGTTTGCAATTTTGTCATCTGATCTGTAATATTTTGTGCACCTCTGCCACACGAAAATATGTCAATCATAGTGCCTTTACTGTGCAGTTAACATAATATGCATGAAGAATAATAAAGCTGCTTTATTTAGGATTCTCTCAGCTGTCCCTGTTATCTCATTCAACAGAAGAGCCTTCTAGTGATAGATTGGTGGTAATATTCATTTATTTGAAGAAATTAACAGGTAAATCAGGTTCCTTTATTTTATTTTTCTCTTTAAAATATTCACTCCGGTAAATTAGGGAAGGATTATTTCAGATATCTACGAAAGTCATCCGTGCTCCATGTTGACTTGCTTTTGTCTTATCCATATTTGGTTGAGTTTCTGCATGTAATCTGTGAAATTCCCTGCACCATTGCTTTAAACATAATACAGTGAGACTTGATGCAGTGATTCACTTTGTGCTTATAGCAGCTTGAGACAGGTGAGATACAATTGTAACTTCTGCAGCAGAAGGCTATTGACTTGCCTGGTCCTTTTACTAGACTGGTTCTGAATCATTGGTGCCATTGCCTAATGTACATCTTCACAAATATATACAAGTATAGAGTATTGCTCTATGGTCTTAGGTCCTCACAAGTGCTGGTGACCCGCTTGAGTATCTTAGCTAACAGAATAGGAGCTTTTGTCTCTTAACATTTTATAAATGTCAAAAGGCTGTATTTTTCTTATTTTTCTATGTATAATTTCTGAAAAAGTTCCTACAATGTTTGAATTATGGTAAAGCATCTGAGAGATCAAGGTCTTTCTCTTCGTTTTGGGGAGGTGTTGAGTTTTCTGTTGCTGAATTGATATTTTCTACTGCAGAAGGCAAGAGATCCTCATTTGTGAATTCTCTGGAAAAGCTAGAAGGAGCTGGAAGGTCCATAGTTTGTTTCCATGGTTTTCCAGGACATCTGGGGAGAGGAGATTCTGGGCGATCTGGCAACCCATTAAATAAAGAAGTATCAGGAACAATTAGCGGTTCTGCAGGTGTACTGGTTTCTTCTCTTGCAGCCCTAGAGTTAACTAGCTCTGGTGTTTCAGCACTGGATGATGGGAGGGTTTCGTTTTGATTAAAAACCCTTTCATTGGACTCCTCAGAAGATTTGGGGTTTGGATGTCTATGTTTAACATTTTTACCGTGTTTTTTATGCCCACACCCATGACCAGTTCTGTGCCCACAACCAGTTTCATGCCTATGCCTTCTATCAGACTGATGATCCTTTTTATGTGCATGCCTGTGTTTATGCCCATGTTTATGCCTGTGCTTGTGCTCAGGTTCACCTTCTGGTTCCTGTCCACCATCTTTTCTCATTTCTTTGTCAGGACTTTGCCTTGCTTCTTCGTTATTATCAGAGCATGAAATTTCATCTGGCTGGTCTACCGTGATAAGGCTTCGGAAAGGTGTGAATCCAGGAGGCCTTCTTAGAAATACACTCTAAAAACATTGCAATAATAGTGATATTTGTTACATGAACAAGAACAATAGCTTCAGATTTGAGGAATTCAGAAGTTGGCTCATTGCAGTATGTGAGTCATTTAGGAAAAACATGTAATCAGATTTTTAAAGTAAACTAAATAATTATCTTTTCTGTCTGTGATAAGCATGGAAACATAATCATCCTCCCAAATAACTCCAGAGAATTTTAGCAGTTATATGTTAATAGAACAGTTTATATATCATTGAAATTCTGCCAGTTTAACATGGGAATGATACTATAGAGAGGAAAACATGTGCTGATTTAATTTATGAACAATACAGTTGATTTCTAGGACTAAATGTCGCTGCGCTTGTTAGAGTACAACATTCTGATGTATAAAACCAATTTATGCTAAAGGCTAACACACCTCTGAGTAGTCTGAATACCAGAATATAGAAAAGGTCTGGGTCATTTTGTTATATGAAATATAACTATTCAATTTTTTGTTTCTAGATATGACATATGCATTTTATGAGACTGCTTAGAAATAACAAGAATAAGTTAAAGCTAATAATATGAAAAATTCAGTTGTTATTGAGTAATCTCTATCTCCCCATCACTCTTCAACTGGAAGATAAAGACTGAATGCATGGTGTACAGTTACTACCCAACACGGGTTTCATTTCTGTCCACCAAAGTGTCTGATCTTTATCCAGCTGCAAATCAGTTGCTTGGGATGGAGCTAAACTTGAAAGTTGATGTAGATACAATATTGTAGTGAAAACAAAGAAGAGAGACATTTATAGTTGATACATAGTGAATGAATAGGTAGTTATGAAGGTGTTGAGCACAGTGAAGTTATTGATTAGGAAAGCAAGTTAATCAATCTCACTTTATTCAGTGTATCTTCTCTTCTTCACTGGGGAGCATGGAAGTACCTGCATTTATTAAAAAACCTGCGATCATCAGAACTAAAAAAAGTTCTGATAATAAAAAAGATTTATATTGTATTCTGAATTTTTCAAACTGACCCATGTTCAGGGCTAGTTCATAGTGGAGCTGGGCAGGAAGGAAACAGAAAGAGCTTTATGCAGAGATTGACAACTCGTGGCAGGAGATCTGCTACTCTACTAGCATGAAAAGATTCACAGATGCTTTTGAAATCTGTGGAGTATAATTATTGCATTGCCAAATACATTTTGTCTCGGTTTTTAAACCTGGTATGAATAGTAATTCCAAGGAGCTTCTGGGGCTCAGTGCTTCAGAGCTCAACTGCTAATGCAAAGGAGCAGTCAACAGGCAGAACGTTCTCTCTGCCCTCTTGCCCTTGTATTTTTGTCATCTCTGGGTTGGCCACTGTCTCACCTGGTGGTGAAACTGGCTTCGACGTAACAAGTTGCTGAGGTTAGAGGGTGTGAGAGAGGAGTGTGGCATTACTGAGGCTGTTAAAAGAACTATGTGTTTCTTTATTTTTGGTACAAAATATGGGATAATTTGAAATGGATAAGGAATTTAATGACTGCCTTTGTTCTGTGCTCTACTTATGATGATGGGTAATGAAAAGGAATCATACCATTGACCGTTCTTTAGAGCAGTTAACCTGGGGAAAGATTTTATTCTCCCATGGGATCACATGAATTTGTGCTTCACATGGCAACGGCACCTGTTGACAAAATAAAAAATCAACACATTGAGGCAACAAAACATCAAACACAAAGGAAGAGAGTGGTGCATGAAAAAATTATGGGTTTTTAAATAATACTTTTAATTACATATATATTTGGAACCTTACCCAAATATCTATGAAATCCGCATTATTGATGGAGACTCCTGTATTGGGACACATCGCTGCTTAGCTTTTTGAGGTTATAGTATGCCTGTGTGAACACTTTAATTTGACTTTGGATTGAAGATTGGACCTTGAAAAATTGGATTTTTCATCTCCAGCACTTTTGGAACACTAACTATTTAATCTTCGTGATATTCCTAAGAAATTTTTTTTGTTGATGGTATTTCTCCTACTAAAAATTGGGAAATGGATATAGAGAGAAAGGCTTGTTTTTTTTTTATTTTGTGCCTGGTGCACTAACAGATTTTAAAATCTTGCAGGTAAGCACTGTTCATACAGTGGGAAAAGAGAGAGGAAATAAAGCCTCTCTTTCCAAACCAATTCCCTTGCCAATGGTTTCTGGCCCTATCAGCATTCCAGTGTCTGGAACACATTTTCCCAGTATCAGCAGTACGCACTCCAGAAAGATCATTCCTTTCCAGTAATACTGCAGTCTCATCTTTTCCCTAGCTGCAAGTCTGCAGTGTGAAGAGTATTGCAGCTATTTCACTTTGCAGCAGCCTCTTCCCCTCCTTTCTTTGGTTCGTCATGGTCAGAAGAAAGTTCCTTTCGCTTTACAGAGAGCACTGACCCTGCAGTTGGAGTGACTCAGTTTAAGCTTCATGGTTTACTAAAGTCGTCATCAGCTTGGGTTACAAGCAGTGAAAGGTGTCCTCCTTGTTGAAACAAAAGTTCACTGAAAGAGGTAACAGAACTCAGGATGCGATTTTACTGAAGTGTTTGCAATTTCTGGTGCAAATGAATTTGTCCATTAGGAACATTACAGCTGGCAATATCATCATTACTTACGCTGTCTGAAGTGGCTTCACAGTCTTCAGTAAATTTTTCAAACTCTTTCTTCGAGCAGTTTGTCTTCCGGACTGCAAATGTTAAATGGTAATTTTGTCCTGCAACCACCTAAAAAAATTAGCAAGAAGGCTTTCTGGGGTAAAGGCGTTTTACTGAAAAGGATTCACAGGAAATATATTTCTCTACAAGCTTATACTACTTATATTGTACAAGTCCTGACCACTGGGACAACATATGTTAAGAACAATATTAAAATATTTGGCAGCAAACCTATCTGCTTCTAATCAGCTTACTAATTTACTCCAGTTCCCATTCTCAAAAATTCCAGCATTGAAATTGAAGGAAACAGAAAGGTCAGAATAATATCAGGCCCACAGTTTTGGCTTTGTTTTATTTGACGCCTGTAGTAATTTCTTTAATAACAAATGAAATCATTAGAGACACCGCTGTAGAGAGCCAAATATGATGTAAGAAAAGTGGAATGTGAGTAAAATGAGGTGTGTGATGAACAAGCTCAGTTAAAAATGAACATATTTGCCAAATGCATTAACGAGAGAAACTGCACGGGTTCAAGAATGTGCCTGGTACGAGTTCTCTTAGTATTTTTTTACAGAGCCCAAGATAATATATCTTGCTTCAGAGACAGCAAGCAAAACATGAAATTCTGTCTCTTTTAAGTCTTTTTTAAAAAGTATGCATTCTAATATCAATCATGATATGAAAAATGAGAAAGAAGAAAAAAATTGAAAGAAGAAAAAAAGGTTTAAAAGAATAAAAAGCACAGATAGTAAGATATCATCAGCTATTCAGAAAAACTCGGGTGCGCTTTTAATGCCTTCTCCAGTGGTACCCCTCATGCTTAGGAGCTGTTGTTGCTGACAAAGTATTTTATGAACTACTCCACTGTCTTATTTTCAATTCTGCCCTAAACCTCGCTCTTGATATGTCAGGACAGTAACCAAGGCAAATGCAAATGCTGACCAGCATTATACTCTTGATTCCTTGTTCTTCTTTATCCATCTGTATTTATCTGTGTATCTAAACATGGATGTTCTCTTCTGAATCTAGCTGGAGTATTATTTGCAGCAGAATGAGTATAGAAATTAACAGATTTCTAAAGGAAATTGGGAAGCCCCGTTCTTGGAACTTGCAGCTACTGTAGGGTGGACAGTGCCTAAAATAACACACAGAGTGTTGATGTGGTGGATCAAGCGGGTAGTTTTGTCTAATAAATCTTTTCTATTTTAAAAGTCTAAGGTATGTTAAAAGGGCTGGTAAAAAGTGGGGCAGATATACAAAAATCAGATACCCTAAGTCAACCCTCTTCCCATGCTTTTAAAGTCATGTTGTTCTAAGAAAAATAAAAAAATCAAGAGGTGGGAGACTTTTAAATCATTTCTGAATGCAAGACAAGATAAACAAAATTTTGCAAGAAAAATTGCGTGGGTATTTCAGTTACCACATGTATCAACACTTAGAGAAAAACATTATTTCAAATCTAAATACAAACTTTAGCTAACGTTCAGCTCAGACCAATCACACTGCTGTGTCTATTCCTCAGCTCTGCGGTATATCCCAACCTGAACTGTCGCTGCTTCTATTTCTCCACCTTTATAGTAGAAATCATCATTGCTCTCCGAATTATACTTCTCCATAGAAACCTTCAGTAGTTCCTTCAGTTCTGGGCTGTCATTTGGGATCGTCTTTGTACAGCCAGTGCGAGTGGCAGGATTTAACGTGGCTTCACCTGCAAGAAACCAACAGATTTCAGATCTAAGGAACAAAACATTCAACATATAGGCTAGAAAAAACAGTTGTAAACCCCTGTTCTCTGGAACGCTTTGTATTTGGGTCTGTCAAATGAAACCAAACACCTTTGAGTTTTATATGATCAGCATTATCATATCGTGGTTACTGGGGGGGGAAAATAAGCCTCTAACATATCAAATGTAAGTATAGCCATGCAATATGAAATAAATAATGATAGTATCACTAGGTGAATTACCAATTTTGACAAAATCTTAAAGTCCTCAGCTCCTTTGCCTTTCAAAAGAATACACTGGAGCTCTTTGGAAAGTTAGAAGTTGTTACTATCACATTGCCTAAAGAAGTAACTCGCTTGTCTTTGAGGTGGAAAAGGAATTAATTTTTGTAAGACAATTATACTCTTTGAGTATGTATCAGCTAAGCTCCAAATAAGAGTCAGCAACCAGCTCCATGTCATAGAAATAGGGCAGTATACAAATTATAAAATGTAACTTTCAGCTGCGCGTGAAATGTTTATAGGAATTGAAAAAAATCTGTGCTAATATGTCATTACGAGGCAGTGCTTTTCTTTCTCTTGTTATTATCTGTTTTTGTATGTTGGATTTTTATTTTGTCTTTTTTTTTTTTTAAATTGTAAAAAAGCATTGAAAATTGCAGAACTTTTAAAACTGATAGCACTTATGACATACCTGGAAGCTTGCATTGGCTTGCAATATCTACTATCTGTGAGTGAAGGTTTTCATATGCTTTGGCATCACATTTACCTATACGCTGGAGTAAAAAAATGCAAAACAGCTCCTTGTTATTTAGAAATAATGAAAAAGTTCACATCCTAATACCTTCCTGCTAACAGAATAAGTCAAGCATACTAATAATTCCTTCCTTCCTGCAATACACTGCGACCGAGAAACCTGACAGTCTGCTGAGCCAATAAATGATCAGGGTTCAAAAGGACCACTTGGAGAAAATAAAACCATAAAAGAGAAGCTAAATGAACTATTTGTATGTGTTCATTACAGAAGGAAATGGGGATGTTTACAAGCCAAAATCCTATTTTATGGAGAACTCACTGGAATTTCTGTCTCAAACTGAAAAGATCAAAAAGAAGATTACACAATTAACAAATCAAACATTACTGAGTTTCTTGTATTTACTCAGGTGTTCTAAAGGAACTGTGGTAGATGATTTGCTTAAAATTGCCTTGGTATCTTAGGGCTGGAACAAAGCAGATGTTAATCCTGTTCTTTAAAAAAGTTATAGACCCATAAAACTGATGCTTGTACCATTGAAGCGATTAGAAATGGTAAAAAGGAAAGACCTAGGAAGCATGAATACATCGAGGAGAGACTGGGGTTTTTGTTGTAAAAAGAAGTTGTATTTTGCAGATTTGTCAAAGTTCTTCAAAAGCATCAGCAAAAGCATGTAAAAAGAGACCTGTTGATAAAGCAGATTTTCATAAAGGTTTAAGTGAAGTCTCTTATCAAGGACTCTACAGGAAACTAATCAACTGTAGAATAAGAAGGGAGACTGTTACAGTTCAGGATCAAGATCTTAGGGCTATGACAGATACTTGAGAATGTCATCCATAAAAAAATCCGCTTAGTAGTGGTTTAGAAAAAAAAATAATAATGTCAAGGCTTATTATCCAGGTTAAAGAGAATGACATTATGTCCCCACTATAGCTCTGTGGTTCATATGCATGTTTAATGCAGGGTGCAGTTCTGGTCCTCCCATTTCAAAATGAGTAGTACAGACCTGAATAAAGGTATGGAACAACTTCTGCAGAATTTGTTCATTCCAAGGGATGAAATATTCTTGGAATATCATATTCTCCTGGTATCTGTGGATGATCTATTAGCAAGGCTGCTTAACAGTTCAGGGGATAAGTGATAAAGATCCAGTCCCACAAACCCTGTTTAGTCAAAGCAGTATGTGAATGAGGTGGCACTCCTGCATTATGCGACGTGGACAGAAGTCGCTACCTCTAGGTGACAGGTTAGGAAACTCGGACTCAAACAGATTAAGTAACTTCCTTAAGGTTTAAGGGCAAGTGTGAGTAATGGAGAGATTTGCTTCAGCTAGTCCCTTCTCACTCTCCTATTATTACCACAGTGTTGTTATTCTTTCCTCTTTTGATCAATGCTTCTGAAACACTCTGAAACATTCTTGAGACATCCAAGGAGTACTTTTTGAACAGGAGAGGCTCTTGAACGGCACACTCAACAGTGCACTTCCACAGCAGCTGAAACAGATGCGAGTCAGGACTCCTGGGGCTCCTTCCTTCCCGTTTAGCATCACTGTCCATTATGACTCCACGTTCCTGCCCTCTACCTTGTATTTGCAGAAGCAAATTTTCCCTGGGAAACAGTCCTCAGGGACAGGGGAACAGAACAGAGCTGGCAGGTCTTTAAGGATGTATTTCACAGAGCGCAAGAGTTCTCGATCCCCAAGTGTAAGAAGTCGGGCAGAGAAGGGAAGAAACCGGCACGGCTGAGGCAAGAGACGCTGGTCAAACTAAGGAAGAAGAGGGAACTGCACAGGCAGTGGAAGCAGGCACTGGCTTCCTGGGAAGAGTATAGGGAAGCTGCCCGGTTGTGTAGGGATGAGGTCAGGAAGGCCAAGGCACAGCTGGAGCTGAACTTGGCAAGGGATGTGAAAAATAACAAGAAGGGCTTCTACAGGTATGTCAGCCAGAAAAAGATGGTCAAAGAAAGCGTACCCCCGCTCATGAGCGAGACCGGCAAACTGGTAACAGCAGATGAGGAGAAAGCTGATGTACTCAACAACTTTTTTGCCTCAGTCTTCACTGGCAACCTCTCTCCTCACCCCTCCCGAGTCGATGGATGGCATGAAGGAGACCAGGAGGGTAAAATCCCTCCAGCTGTAAGTGAAGACCATGTTTGGGACCTCCTGCAGAACCTAAATGTACAGAAGTCCATGGGACCTGATGAGATGCATCCCAGAGTCCTGAGGGAACTGGCTGACGCAGTTGGC